ACTGCCAGGGATGGGGCAGCCACAGCTTGTTGCCCTGAAGTGTTTGGGAGCTTCCGCAGCAGTTCGAGTTGCGTTTGCGGAGCCTGAACGCTCCCCTGGGATGAGCGTGTGGAGCGGTTCCCGCTGTAACGTTCCCCTTCCTCCGCCAGGTGTAATTAACACAATCGCCAAGTTAGCCAAGACCTGCACCCTGCGCCTGACTGTCAGCAAGCTGTACTTCATCCTCTCCGATAAAGTAGCAAATGGAGGTGTGGGTATGTGGTGTGAGCTGAACCAGGTAAGCCCGGGACACTCAGTAACCACATTACGTTACATTGAAAACCAGAGTGGGCAGTAGGGTCTGGTGTACAGGATGATTGATATGTGTAGCCCTCACCTGAGATGTGCCAGGTCTCAGTCCTGCGTGGCTTTGTTTACTGAAGGCATTCTGTCCTGCAGGACTGCCTTTTGGTTACACAGACCTCATGTTTCTGGCTGGACATCCCCTTTGGTTGTCACTTATGTGAAGCTTTGTTGTGGGCTGGCCCACAGCCAAAACTGGAAACAGGAAAGCGAAAGTCACCTCTTACACCCCTGGTTTTGAGGGATCGTAGTTAAGGGAGGATCTGAAATAAATAGGTTTAGCCTGAAGCAATGGGCCTTCATGCCTGTGCAGCTTGTCTTAACTCTTGCAGGTGATACCAGGCACAGGAAAGCTTCCTGTTGGACATGTGCCATACTAAGCTTAAGTTCTGATAGGTAAAACTTACCCCTGTCATTTTTTCATTTGCTGTGTTTTATTTCCCAATTAAAAAAAACTACAGGGGAATTTCTTCAATGAGTTTCAGATGGAAGGAGTGGCCGCAGAGCACAATGAGATCTACTTAGAGTTGATGCCTGAGAACCTGTCGAGAGCATTAAAAACTGCCCAGAATGCTAACGCAGTGAAGATGAAGTTGACTAACAAACACTGTCCCTGTCTCAGAGTCGCTGTGGAGCTAGTAAGTGCAACCATGCTTTTATCTTCATTATTAACAGACGGCTTTTAGAAATTAAGTGCTTTTCCTAAGATCAAATACAAGCTTTGATGTAAGTCTAGAAAAATAAAGAAAGAAAAGTGCCATTTTCCATTTCACTAGTCTTTCCTGCCATCACAGGTGGTAGCACACGGAACCAGCTTTGTATTGTTCAAAAGGCAAGGAAGAGCTGGAGGAAGAATGAAAGATATGTGCTTGAAACACCGTTTTCTAATGTCTACTTTTCTCCATTCCTTCATTTTCTGAATGTGTGGATTATTGCCTTCTCACTGAAGCCATTAGGTGAAGGAGGTTTCTGTGTAGTTTTTGGCTCTGATTTGCTTTTGATTGTCCTTAATAGCAGACTGATGGGAACCTATGGAAAACTGGAACTGAGTGTCTGGTGCACTCAGTTATGGTATTTCCCAGAGTGGGTCTGAAAAGTTTGGATTTAGAATTCCAGTCTTCTGTTTAACCACAAGACCATCCTCTCTCTTCCCTCAAGCCATCCTTATCAAGCAGCAGTAGGATTGTGACACATGACATTCCTGTGGGGGTTATTCCCAGAAGATTATGGAATGACTTCAGAGAGCCCAGTGTACCAGACTTTGATGTAAGCTTCTTGTTTTGTATTCCCTATGGAAAGGGGAGGTTGCAAGTGGAATGCCGTTGCTGTGGTGTATATTACCAGTGGAATTTGGAGAGAAGGTGGAAGGAAAGAGGGAAGGCTGGAAGCTAGAGGTTTGGAGAGTGATGGGACATGGCTTCCATCTTGACAAGAGAGTCTCCAGAACCTGTAGAAACAGAGCAAGTCATTACCGGTCATTGCTGTGATACTCAGGGAGAAGGAAAGGAGGAGCATAGGATTTGCATGGCTTTGGGTAGGAGCACCTCCAAAGGGTTTTGACTGTTTCAGCTGTTTAGGTACCAGGTGGCCCAAATAATGTGTTCTTTCTGAAATTCATGGCCTACCTGGCAGAGTTAGATGTATATGTGTTCCCTCCTGATTTTTATACATCTTTTTATATCCTTTTTGACTTTTAGCACTCTTGCAAGGAAAGGACTTTGCAAATGTGCTCCTGTTTGAGATTATGGATGTCTGTTACTTTTACAGCTGAGAGCATTTAAATTCTGAAGATGTAAGACTTAGTAGAAACTTGATGTGTTTTGTTTGTTATTTCAGCTTTCTGCTGATGCAGTTCCAGAAATGGTGTTACAGTATTATGGGAATTGTGTTCTTCCTCTTTTGGCTATAGTAATTATTTACCTGCTTAATAACACAGATGTGGGTTCATGTGAGAATCTGGTCTGCAAAAACCTGTCTCTCATTTATTTTGAACACAGATGGGATCGTATGTCTGAAGCGATTGCCAGAGCAATGACCTA